AGATTGTGACACTGTGTCATCAATTAGGCAGATGAAGGTATCACCCCTTTTTTTATCTGGGGTAGTGTCTGGTTCTATTGACTAGCAAGCTCTTCTTGTTTGCGGGTAATTTCTGTTGTGCGTGCTGCTCTGACTTCTCCATCAAAGCCATAATTAGCAGGTAGGCTTTCGTTTCTTCATTGGGTGTTTTGATGGTTGAGACTTTGTTAAAAAATAAAGGTGAATAATTTTCTCTCTCCTGCCAAAGTCACAATGGTGATAAAAAGCAGGTGCCTATCAAACTCTGCTGACTCATTCTGAGAACAATACAGCAGCAAAATGATGTTATTTGAGTGTTTCTGCTTCTTTAAATAAAATGAGAGCAAGTCTGTAGGAACCAGTCATGTATCTGCCTGTTTTTATGTTGTGAATTGCATAAGTACCTCTAAGAAGGAAAGTTGTGGCCATTCAGATAACTATCATGGTTGTATTCATAATTTTTCCGGTTTGTGTTAGACTCATTCATTCAGAACTGTCATTCAGTGATATCTTCCTATGAACGCACTGCTACTGATGTCAGCAGGGCTGACGATCCTCAAAGCCTTCTTATCAACTAATTCAATAATCCCTGTTTCCATCTACAAAGCGATGAAAACTTGCCTGTGCATCGGCACTGCATTAATGGTTCTCTGATGACATCATAATTGTCCTTTAAAAAAATCTCTTTCTAAATAGATAGCATCATGAAATTGTAGAGCCGGAGGGAACTTCCTCATCCAGGGCAGTGCAGTCCCCGACGCCGCCTGCTAGCTAGTGCTTAGCCAGCTCCTCTGAAACCTCTCGGGACTGAGACTCACGCCCCTTGTAAAACAGCCCCTTCCATTCTCAGGCAGGTCCGATCCTCAGCAAGTCCTTTCTTGCTAAGAAAGCAATGAAAGCAATAAAACCATTTGTTTTCTACACATCTGCTGAGCCAAGTGTCCCCCACATTGTATCTGCACAGTTGATATTTTTTGAGGCCTTAGTAGTCGACCTTCAATTTATTTAACCTTTTAGAACCTTCCTGAATTATGATACTTTTCATGTCATCTGTGCATTTATTATTCATGCCATGTGTGTCCTTATCCTGTCATTGGCACCCAGGCTGTCTGGCTCCAGAGCCCTCACGAAGTTATGCGTTTAACTATCCAGGGGATCCTCTTAGACCACAGCAGAGCCTCATGGGACCCTGAGGTGTCTCCCTCTGCCCAGCATCACCTTGTTCTCCACCTCATGCCTACCTTAGGCATACATGTGGCTTCAGGGTGCCGTGACCTCTCCAGCCCAGCTCTCCATCACAGTCCCTGCTCAGTGCCAAGTCTGCCTGCCTGTGTCCTGCATCTCAAGTTCACATTCCCAGAAGGAAATCTGATTAGCCTGGCTGGTCAGGTGCCCCCTGCTGACCCTAACACCCAGGGCCAAGGAACTAGGCCAGGACAGGGGAGGGGGGAAGAGTCAAGGTTGTCCCAGGGGAGGCTCCTTCAGAAGGGCTTACAGGCCAGGGGGACCAAAGGACCGCCTCACTACGAGCCCCTCTGTGGATGTTTGTCATGTGGGTGTAAATCCACAGTGCTGCATGAGCATGGACTCGTGTCTCCATTTTATAAGAATAAGGCCAAGCTGAAAGCCTGGTTGAAATCCAAAATGCTGACAATTTGGCCAGGAACATTATTGTTTCAACGTAAGTGATATAAAGAACCTTTTTTATTTGTCTGTCTTCTTCCGCTGTCATTTTATTTATTCATTATTTTTATTAATTTATTTTTGTTACAGATGTTTCTCCTTTTTTTTCCCCCATTGACACCCTCCTCCCTAAAGAACCTTTTTTAAAGGGAAAGATTCCCTTTTAATCTCTCACTATACATCCTGTGTGTGAAAAACACCACTTTTAAAACATTAAAGTGTCCTCAGTGGTAACTGAGTTCTCAGTACAAAAGGGAACTGTTCCTTTTAACTTCTGAATGGATTATTTTCCAAATTTTCACATACATCTGTTGGAAGCTATAGATCCCATTCTATGAATCTGTGAACTCTGAAAGCACATTAGAGTTCTGCTTTTTATTTTATTTTCTATGACATTACATCATCTGTTGCAGGCAGCAGACTATGCCATCAACCCCTTGTATTCCAAATGGAAGGGAGGAAACATTGGACGTCGCCTCTATTTATAAAAACACCTTTCCTCCATTCTCAGATGTCTGTGTGTCTGTTATTCACTACTGAACATGTGATCGAATTTCCAAACTTTCCCATGATCTTTTTTTAATCTTCTTTTTAACTTGTTCATTGACTTCCTGTGCAGCGGCAGTGGCCTCTCTTATTTTATTTGTTGTTGTTAGTCCTCACCCGAGGATATTTTTCCATTGTTTTTTTTTTTTTTTTTTTGGTAAAGAGAGTGGAAGGGAGAGAGAAAGAGGGTGAGAGAGAAACACCAATGTGAGAGAGACACATTGATTGGTTGCCTCCAGCAAGCACCCCTTCCAGGACCAGGGATGGAGCCTGCAGCCCAGGTACATGCCCTTGACTGGGAATCAAACCCACAACTCTCCTATGTGCAGGCCGATGCTCTATCCACTGAGCCACACTGGCCAGGGCAGCAGTGGTCTCTTTGAATACACTTCCCTTTTCCCCTTTGTCAGGACCTTTCCAATGAATCAGCGTGTTGCTCCACACGTTCTTCTAAACGTCTGCTCTACTTGGGCCTTGAGAACTTGTAACGTGTCCTGAAGTCGGGATGCATGTGTGGCTTAGCCTAGTGTTCCCCTCTTTGACTGTCAGAAGCTCTGTGGTACAGTTATATCTTCTGCAGGTATCATTACTACTTTATCACTTTTGCATTGATGAGAATCCAGTACATAGTAGCAATTCCTCATCTTGTTTCCTAAATGAATTGGATACCAAGACAAGTTAGTGGTTCTTTTAACTAATTGAGACTCATAGGAGATGCCTGGTAGTTGAAACCTCTTATTGCTAGTTCAGTCTGTTTCTGTGCCAATTTTTAATTCTGTATGCGGAACAAACAATTTATCTTTTTCTATCTGACCAAATGACCTATGGGATATTCCCAAAGCAATATCATTAATTTTCTTTCACCATTCATTGTTCTTCTTCCTTTTCCTGTTAAGCATGATTTGGCATTAATAAATGCATTCATTACTATTTTTAGCAACTCAGCATGCCCAAGATGATTATTTTTCTGGGTTAGTATCCAAGGCTGGCAACCAAAGACATTTGAGTGCTTACTGTGTGAGGTGCAACACGTGGCGTGCCATAGATTTCCACATAATACCATGCAAGATAGCCTTCCCTGGGAGTGTCAGGAATACTTGTTCAGGGTCTGCCACTTAGAATTCACAGTACTGCTTTTGGATTGCTGTAGTTCAGCATGAGCTCAGGAAGTGTTAACCCATTATCTTTTCCTGTTTTAGGCAAGAAAGAAATGCTGTTGATGTGTTTTCATACTTGTATATTTTTACATCAGTTACCACAATGACACTTAAAGAAAATATTATTTACCATGTGTGGTCATGACAGGTCCTGAAAGGCAAGTATATTAGAGGGTGTCAGGATAGAGACAGGACCATAAAGTTCTGGGAATTTATGTATATCTGATATTAAAACAGAAAATTTAGTAAACATTTCTTGCATGCAAGGAACTTCCCTGAAGTGTTAAGTTTATTGCCCATATTAGAGTAACATACATGATAGATACTTACATGTACCCTTGTGTTTGCCTTGTCCTCAGTATATAAGTTAGGTACATCTGTAACATCTATTATTATTATTCTCAGTTGCTGTATACCTAAGTAGATCAAAAGATTAATGCTGGGGTGGTAAAAAGACCACTGTATATATTCAAACCTTTTGTAGGTGATGCTTCAAGGAAGGAGGGTTAGGGAGGGTGCTTTGACATCAAAGTAGCATCCAACAAGGCCATGAGGGTAGCAGAGGGTTGTGGTTGGAAAACTGTATGAGGTGGAATAGGGCCAATAGAGGAGAAATAGTGAGAGGGAGAGGTCACGTCAAGCTTGATTGTTAAATGAATGAATGCATCCATTCATCACTGTAAAAGCTGGGCTGGACTTGATCGATTTCCAAATGTTGTCCTGCCTCTGACTCTGGTACTTACTGGCTCTCTGACCATGACCAGTTCTCCATGTGAAAAGCAAAGTTTCCTCATCTTTATCATTTTGAGAATATTTAAAAAACAAAACAAAACAAAAAACCTCCACTAAAACCCCATAACATGGAAACCTAGCAGTCTTTAGGTAGAGAGTAGTTCCCAGAATCAAATGAAAAGCGTTACAGGAAGGTCAAGGATAACCCAAGGCAGCCTGACTAGTGGACAGTTATACTTCAGGATCCACAGAATCAGTCTTAATCTGTGCTAAGCCTTTTCATATGTCCAGACTGAAAATTGACTGTGATTAGCCTCGCATGGGCCATGTGCTCACCTTTAAGCCTGAAAGGGGAATGGTGTCTTGAGGGACCGGTCCCTTAAGACTGTCTACATTAGGGAAAGCAGTTTTCCAAAGAAAATCAAAGGACCATTTTCAGGAGAAGCAGACTGAGTTGGAATGAGCAGCGGATGCCCCTGCACAGAGCCTGCATCAGTGTATTCTGTTCAGGGAAGGGATATTGACGCAATCAAAAACTTCATTTCCCCTCCGCCTATCGCAGGCATGGTCTAGAAATTTCGAACATGTTGCTGAATAATTTCTATTTGATGTTCATGCTTTTAGAAGTGTTTTATTTCTTCAGTGCCATATTTCAGCGATTTTCAACCTTTTTTTAATCTCAGGGCACACATAAACTAATTACTAAAATTCTTCAGCACAGTAAAAAATGTATTTTTGGCCGATCTGACAAAAAATGGGTATAATTTTGATTCATGCACACAGAATGACTGTTGTCATTTTTCAATTTGACAATCTAAGAGGAAAGAGGTCAGGACTAGTTAGGTGCTGCACGTTTTAGAAATTCTCCGGTATACCAGCATGCCGGCCACGGCACACCGGCCGAAACTCACTGCCGTGTTTGACAATGCAGTAGGTAAGTCTTAAAGAGCACCCAGTTCATTGTCTGCAGAGTGGCGGCTCCTTTTGGTTCCCTGTCTGTCTGAATAGCTGCTGTGGGCTCATGGCCGAACACTGGACATGGTCATTCTGCTTCAACAATGAGGATGTGGGATTTCAGATCTCTTCCGTAGCTCGAGTAACTGCTTCCTCATTTCTCATTAGATAAACTAGATACGTGTATGTATGCGTACAGTATGTATATAACTATATCACCAAAAAACCCCCCACAAAATATTTAAGATACAAATGTGTACATTATTCAGCCAAAGATTGTTTTGCTCCCGAAACTTGAGCCAAAAAAAATATTTTTTTACATGAGGATTCTTAATTTATTATTGCTTTTCCCAGAGAACAAAGTAAAGGCATATTTAAACCTTTAGAATGGACCATGGGTGATGCTCATAATTTCCTAAGGTCAGTAACACCTACCTTTGATCACACCTAAGTTCTGCATTTGTGCCTTCTACGTCTGGTTAGTTTTTTAGTTAATATCCTTTTATTCGCTTGTGTAACTGTTGCAAGCATGGCTGTTTGTCTGAGGATCTCCTTCTAGACCAAGAAACATGAGCAATTAATATGGTTTCTTTAATGTCTAATATTGGAAGCCATTAAGTAAAAAGGATATATAATTGAATTCTGCTAAATATGTTTGGCAGTTAATATAATAGATATTCGGATTCCAATTACGGCCTTACTTATAATTGTAATAAAGGTGAATCTGCAAAAATGTAATGGTTCTATAACTGTATTATCAGGCAACTAACTGAATGATTTTGTATTTGTTCTCTCCTCCTTCCTATCTACACACCCCTGCTTTTCTGTTGCATAACCTCTATACAGATGAACTTTTTAGGAAAGCATGTACTTATTAAAATAAATTTGTATAATTGTAAAGTCCATTATTTTACTCTCTAAATTCATTCACTAGTCACAGCTTTAATGAACAGTTTTTAAAATGTTATTATCTAGATTAGTGTTTCTTTGACTTTTGTTTTTTCCCATCTTAAGGATTTTGGTGGGGAGATTGCCTTTATAATATCGTAGGAGGATAGGGTGACCGGAACTGTTTGAGTGACAAGTATTGTGCTACATTGTTAACATAATGTAATTTAATCTTCATATTAACCCTATTTCATGCACGGGGAAGCTGAGGCTCAAATCATAAAATAACTTGCCCAGAGTTATATAGAAGTTGCCATAATCCAAATCTGAACACAGATCTGACGACAAAGCCTATTCCATTTTCCAATAGTCTGCCTTTCCGATTTCACCAATAGAAATACTAGCTAGAGTGTTTGTATGTGCAGGAGTTAGGCGCTGTCCCGAGTGCTTTACACGTGCAGCATCTCCTCGAATCTCCTTAGAAGCCTGTGAAGGAAGGTGGGCAGCTACAGATAAGTAACTTGTCGAAGCTCAGAACTACTGGGCCTAAATGTCTCTGCTTCCCGTGCTGACTCTGCATTGCCTGCATTGATTACACCCTGCGTTTTCGATGGTATTGATTACCATGTTCTAATGAGAAAAGGATGCATGATATCTAAGGATAGGGTTGTTTGGCTATAGGGACAATTCCGTAAGTGGCTCATCATTTGTGGAATTTAAAATCCTAAATTTCTTTTAAGTCCTGAGCTTTTGCTTGGAGCAGCGCCAGGCAGTGGGTGTATGTGGCTCATAGGATGGTGGAATGACGAGAGACCTGGAGAGGCTGTAACGATCATACCAGCACCACTTCCAATAACTCTCCTGTGCACATCCATCTTTTCATCTGTCACCACAGTCTCACCCAGGCCCCGCCCCCTTTTACCCTGATGGTCGCTGTAGCCTCAAAATGATCTTTCCGCCGCCTACAATTTCTCAGTGGATTCCTAGCGCATAAAGAATATAAATCCAAGTTTCTTATTGTTTCTCCCAGTCTGCCGCTTCTGGTTTGATGCTCCTGCTCACTGTTACTGTTGCTCAGTTTCTGGAAATGCCAAGCTCATTCTTGCCTCCAGAGCTTTGCTCCTGCTCTTCCCAGCTAGTTGACCCTATCCCTTATCTTTCCTTATTGAAGTCCTCACTGAGGTCCCCACTCAGTCTCCTTGGAGAGGCCTCGCTCCCCACTCAGTATAAAGCAGCAACAACGCTGTGGTAACAGCTACCCAGTGAGCACAGCTGACATTTATGGAGCTCTTACTATGTGTTAGGCATTGTTCTCTACATTTGTTAACTCACCAAGTCCTCACAACCCCTTTGAGATAGGTCCTGTTACCATCTCCATAGATGACGAAATAGAAACACAGAGTTCTGTCAACTGTTCTATCACTTGTTTTATTTTCTTCATCACACTTACCGTGTTCTATACGTGTCTTGTTCTCTAGAAAATAAATCCCCAAGAAGAAGGAACTTTGCCTTATTTTCTGCTGATTCTGCAGCATTTTAAAAGATGACTGCCCCATAGTAGGCACCATGGTCAACTTATGTTGAACATATGTGTTGAATGAATGAATGAACTAATGAATAGTGAGTGGACTTACTGATTTGCTCATGATGTGTGTGAGGAGAAATGGAAAATTTCAGAGATGATAATTCTGTTGTAATTGCATGAAACGACTAAAAGCCTTCCACTAAGTAACTGTTGAGCATTTTTCTCCCCTTTACATTATTCTGTGTGCATATATAAGCATGTGATCATGACTCTAGGCAGAGGAAAAAAGGAAGACTATACATCAACATACTCAGTAACCCAGTTAGTCAGTGGTCATCGGTGAGTGCTGTGCACAGTAGTTGCTGGCAACAAATTATAGTCACTGCTTACCTTTTCACATGAGGACACTTAGCCATGACCACGAAGCACCACTGGACTCTGGGACTGAGTTCTGGCTGCAGATCGTCAGGTAGTCATTGCTGTGAAACATCGGATTCAAGTAGGGAAATTTGTTCTTTTGTTTTTAAACGTTTCAGTTTTGCTAAACAAATGCGATGTTGACATTTCTCTTCCTGGTGCCCAGCGGATACTGATTTCACAGGAGTTTGGAGCTGAAGAAGAACATAAGATTATTAGCCTTCCTCCCTTCCTTTATAGCTGAAGAGAACAACCCCCAGGGATTAAGTGGTTTGCGTAGGGTTACATAAGTGAGTGGTGAAAGACCAGAGCTTGCTGCTCAACCACTGAGTGTTTAATGACCTAACACTTTCAGGGGAAGATAAACACGTGTTCACTTCAGGGCTGTGATTAGGGCACTGACCCATCATCATCTTGTTTTCTAGATCAAGAAAATTATTGCTGGAGGCTGAAATGGTCACCAGGAGGATGTTGCTTGTACATCCTTGTGTAGTGATACAAAGTAGTATCTCCTTGTAGCACATTCAGCAGCTAAAACCTTTTGCATGATTTAAGGTCAAAGGAGGCTCTGAAGGGGTCTCACCTTCCAGTGAAGACTCCGTAGAACTGTTGATAGATCCGGAGCCTCTCTCTCCACGTGCTTCCTGGGAGAGGCAGGAGAATTAAGAGCTATTAGTGAACTTTAATGATTTATGTGAACAAACCCTCTAAATTATTAAACAGATCCCAAGAGGCATAGCTTCCCTTCTTAAAACAAGGGACAGACTGTGTATAGGAAGGAATGGTAACTGTACCACCTTAGTTTTAGCTTCTTTGGGGCAAGGTGCTAGGGGGATTCTTTCCTTAATTACCTTTGCCACCACTGTACATCAATATCTCAGTGAAGGCGTTGTCCAGATGTGACCACAGAGCTTTATGTGGTCATCAAAGCTGTGGACGGTGGGGATTTAAAGAGGAAATTTAAAAAGAAAAAAGAAACATGAAAATAGAGTTGTCTGATTCGTGTTGAATGGCTGTTAAATTGAATGTAGGGAATGTGTTTCACCTCAAAAGCAGAAGGAATATGAGATCAAAATTGCTCCCTTCCTCCCTCAAAGCATTGGTTCATTCATTCCAGTAGGAGAGCCTTGTTTCTCTTCTACACAGAGGGAGTCTAGATAGGTATGTACCCTATGTCCAGATCTAGCCTGACTGCTTCTGCAATGTAAGGTAACAGTGCATTGCAGATGCTAATTATGATAGTTACAAACTCTCCTATTCCAAATTAGTAAGAATGCCAGTCTTATTCCCAGATGTCTTTGTGAAATATTCCCGAGGATTCTGAGGTTGGGTGCATTCACTCAGATGTTCCTGAGAATCTCTGAGGTTGCTATGCCTCGCTCACTGCTGCCTGCTGGGAGTAAACGGAATCAGGTGCGTACACGAGGTGGTACCTGCAACCTCTGGTCTTCAGACGCCCGGGAGTGGGCCTCAGGGGCCTGTGGCACTGCCGTGTGTCACTGCTGGTGAAAGCGCTTGTGTGGCCCAGCTGGCTGGAGCCTTGAGGAAACAGGGCAAGGGTGACCATCTCCCATGTCTGGGCCCCCCACTTTTGGTGCAGATCTCCCTCCTTGAGTCACACCTGCTCAGGGCATCCCACTGCCTGAGTCCCGGGTTGTGCTCCATGTCAGCATCACAGCACACCTGTCTAAGGCCTTCCCATCCTGCCGGAGTGAAGAACGCCTGTGGCATCAGCAGTGTTCTGTGCCTAGAACCATTCTGTCCCTCTACTGGCCCTACTCTTTCATAATTTTCTTTTTCAGTTACAGTTTATATTCAATATTATTTTGTATTAGTTTTAAGTGTACAGCATAGTGGTTAGAAAAATCATATACTTTACAAAGTAGTCCTCTGGTTATTGCAAGTACCCACCTGGCACCAAACATAATATTGTTGACTATATTCCCTGTGCTGTACTTTACATCCCTAGAACTATTTTATAACTACCAATTTGTAGTTTTTAATCTCTCCACCTTTTCACCCAGCCCCCCTGCCCCCCAACCCCTTCTCCCCTCTGGCAACCATCAGTCTGTTCTCTGCGTTTTAATAGGCATTTCTCTGATCATTAGTGATGTTGAGCATCTTTTCATATATCTATTGGTCATCTCTATGTTTTCTTTGGGGAAGTGTCTATTCAGGGCCTCTGCCCATTTTTTAATTGGATTGTTTGTTTTTCTGGTGTTGAATTGTATGAATTCTTTATACATTTTCAATATTAACCCCTTACTGGAAGTATCAATGGCAAATATCATCTCCGATTTAGTAGGTTATCTTTTCATTTTGTTAATGGTTTCCTTTCCTATACAAAACCTTTTATTTTGATGCAGTCCCATTTGTTTATTTTTTTTTCTTTTGTTCTCTTTCCCAAGGAGCTATATCAGAGAAAATATTGCTAAGGGAAATCTCAGAGATCTTACTGCCTCTGTTTTCTTCTAAAGAGTTTTATGACCCTGGCCAGTTTGGCTCAGTGGTTAGAGCGTTGGCCCGTGGTCCAGAGAGACCCGGGTTCGGTTCCTGCTAAGGGCACATAGCTCAGTTGCAGTTTGTCCCCAGCCCTGGTTGAGGTCTTGTGGGTGGCAGCCAGTCGATGTGTCTCTCTCACACCAATATTTCTCTCTCTCTACCCCTCCCCCTCGCTCTATGCAAAAATGTTCTTGGGTGAGGATTTAAAAAAAAAAGACTTTTATGCTTTTGAGTCTTACATTAAGTCTTTAATCCATTTTGAGTTTCTTCTTGTATATGGAGTAAGAAGGCAGTCTAGTTTTATTTTATTTTTTTCTTTGCATGTATCTGTCCAATTATTCCAACACCATTTGTCGAATAGACTGTCTTGACTGCATTTTGTGTTTTTGCTTCATTGAGAACAGGTCACCAGCCTGGACTTTCCCCCTGAATTTGGCTATTTTTTTCCTGAGAGGTGCCTTGTTACCAGACTGTGGTTGAGGCCCTCGTCCATTAGGATTGTTTTAATTACTCTGACTCTCATGTCAGGGAAGGGGTTGTTTCTAATTCCTTTGTCCTAGGAGAGTCCTTTGCTCCATAGAAATTCTTGAATACAAATAAATATGCAAAAGGCGATGTGATGTCCAGCTCCCCCTGACGTCATTTGAGACCCCGATATAAATGGGTATGTCGGGAGGAGTGACACCCAACTCCTCAGCCAGGACCGTCCAAGGGCCCGGCCCTCCGCAGTCCAGCTACATGGAGTGCAGCCTGAGGGTGTCAGTCAGAGCAGAGTGGAGACCGGCGCTCCTGAGGCTCTGTGCGCTCCAGGGGCCAGGCGCAGTCCACTGTGACCTTTGTGCTGTCACTAGGAAAATTTAATCGAATGTTTTAAAGAATTTTTAAGATTGATAGCCTCTATTTGATAGTCCATGTCTTGGTCTGTTTGGGCTGCTCTAACAAAATAGTTTTGGTGCTGGGAAGTTCAAGGTCGAAGCAGCAGCAATTGCGTGTCTGGTGAAGCCCCACTTCCTGGCTCAGAGATGGCTGTCCTCTGGCTGTGTCCTGCAGGATGGAAGGGATGAGGGAGCTCTTCCCTTCGGGGCCTCTTTGCCCAGGGCACTAATCCCATTCACGAGGGCTCAACTCTCCGGTCCTCGTCACCATCCAAAGGCCCCACGTCCAAATAGCACCGCTTTGAGGGAAGTGATTTCTACATGTGAATTTTGGAGAGGACACAAACATTCGGTCTGTAATAATACATACGCGAAATTTGGTTAATTAAAAGTAGGGGGGAAGCTTGTGTTGTACCTAAAATGTAATGTAGTGGAAGATAGTTATTGACCATGTGGCCCCAGGCCAAGCTGCTGATGTGTCTAACTGTAAAATGACAGTTGAGTGTTTCCTGGGGAGCCATGTGACCTCCAGAGTGATGAGTGTAAGGTGTGACCCTTCCTCTGTGCCTGTCTGCCTGGAAAACTTTGGGGGACTCGCTGCCAACAAGGGGATGCAATCCAGACTTCTTCACAAGCCCATGTGCTTTTTAATGCCGTATCCCACCTGTCTGGACCTTGCCCTGTGTCTGTGCATCGGCTTTATGGCCGTTTGCACTGCCCTGCTCAGGACAGTCCTCCAGATGCTCGGGCCTCTGTGCTCATCCTCCTCACCTTGGTCGAAATCCTAAATGAAGTTCTGGTTTCATAAAGCAGCAAAAGCCCACCACGAGCTTTTCTTAGACAATTTGTTACCAGCTCTTGGCTGTTGTAGTGACCTTATCAGTGGGTGGAGAAGCATTTGCTTGCCCTCAAAAAAATCGGCCAAATAATCACTCCTTTGTCATTGGGTATTTATTTATTTGCAAACATTCACTGAGTACCTGCTGCTGGTACTGGTGTTGGGAGAGGAGGAACACACCTTCGGTGGCCCCAGGGAGTTCCCTCTCTGGTACGGGAGAATGACTCACAAGCAGGCGGCAACCAAGTGTTCTGGTGCGTGTTTTGCTGGGGGAGGGGAGAGCAAAGAAGGCTGTGGAAACACAGAGAAGGTTCACAGGCCTTAGCACCACAAAATACAAGAGACCCCATGTTGCAGATCCTATGGGAGGCGTTGACATTGGCTGGCAGAAAAGAGATAGAGGACTGTAGGTACCCCTGCCAGGAAAGGGGTAAGGGAATGATTTAGTCTAATCTCACCGAAGTCTTGCTAGGGTCAGATAAGCAGTTTAAAATGTTTTATTCCAGAACTTACATGTGTTTTTCAAAAATTATTGTGGCCCTGGCCAGTTTGGCTCAGCCGTTAGAGCGTCAGCCCGCAGACCAGAGAGACCCGGGTTCGCTTCCACTAAAGGCACGTACCTCGGTTGCGGTTCATCCCTGGCCCCAGTTGGGGTCCTGTGGGTGGCATCTGGTGGATGTTTCTCTCTCACTCTCCTCCTCCCTCTCCCTCTCTTCCTCCCTCTCTCCCTCCCCCTCTATCTGAAGATAAATGCAAAAATGTCCCCTGGCGAGGATTAGGCGAGGATTTAAAAAATATATATATTAACTTTGCAATAGTTTCCTGGTTGAAATGGCCTGAATCTGTAATATTGTTACAGTGATTGTGAGATGACTTGAAATGACCTTAGAACATTTTAAATTTGTTTGTGAACATAAATTCTAATTATTGACAGGAGTAAGTTCACCATAGTGAGTTAAATAATTGGTGTGGTTTCCTATTTAAACCTCATTTGGCAAACATTTCTGTCTTCATCGAAATGGAAAGGAAAAAAAGCAGTATATGTGTATGCTTAAACTTTTTACATTTTAATTTGTTAGTATTGTCTCAAACTGTAATGGAAACCAGTTTAAAAATTTTTGTTGCTTTTGACATGTTCTTATGTAGCGGGAAGAAATAAAATAAGTTGAACATATATGGGGGAAAGATGAACAAAAATTGAAAATTGATGTCACTGTTTTCGAAATGGGTTCGTTTTCACATGGCTATTAAATGCCCCTTTACATTCAGTAGAAAAATTAAATGTGGGGGGTTTTCTTTTTACTATGAAAGAAATAAGATCAGTAAGAAGATGCGTGTAGCTTGACTTTAGATTCCGGAATAGTTACAAAATGTGGTTTTGGTCTGGATAATACAATGAAATATTTCTTATCAAGTAAGAAGACTCTCTGTCTTTCAGGTTATGAGAAGACCGACGATGTGTCAGAGAAGACTTCCCTGGCGGACCAGGAGGAAACTCGGACTATATTCATCAACCAGCCGCAGCTGACCAAGTTCTGCAATAACCATGTCAGGTAGGAACTGCGAAGCAGGGCTGTGGGCCGCTCTCCCAGCCAAAATGCAAACCCCCGCAAAGAGCTTGCAGTTAAATCAGTGAGTACTTGAGAGCTTCCTAGAGGCCGCGTGAATGGGCGAGTTCTCCATCTTCTAGCCAATAAGGAGATGTTAATAAGAATCTGGAGGCAGGGAGGAGCAGAAAGGATGAGCAGCTGCTAATGGGTAAACACCTTTTTCTTCAACCTGTTGTACAATGATAAAGCATTGTTTGGGTTCACAAGTTTTTACATTTTAGAAGAGGTCTTTGGCAGTTCTTCACCAAGAACTCCTTTTGGTTAAATAGTCATTTAATATTGGCTTTTGATAGTTGCAAAATTTAGTATGGTGATGAGGAAGGGAGGGCTGTGAGAATTACTTCATTGTTATAGTCTCATTCCAACAATAACATAAAAAGTGTCTCTGTGATAAGCCCTATTCACTAAGTGGCCCCTGGAACCAAGTGAGCACCCCAATGCTAGTTCAGTTTTCCCCACTGGCAAAATTCCTAGGTTTGAGACGTGCCCATTTAAAACGAATATGTAGAACTTCAAATTCAAAAGTAACTTTTCACAGTTTGGGAAGTCTGGTATATGTCCCTTAATCTCCCCTCCATTTAATTAACAGGAAGATGGGATGTTCCTAAGACCCAAATGGGGATTCCTGACTCTGGCTAAATGTGATGTGTTCTGTGTGAAGTCCTAGCCAAGTTCACAGAGGCGCTGTGAAGAAAATTCACGCAGAAAACTCCCAATTTCTCTGAAGTTATTCAGGGAAGGCACCTATATTTAGTTTCTGGTCCTGCTCAAATTGCTGATTTTTTTTTTGCAAGATTTTATTTTCAATTAACATATTATACACTTTCTTAACTAAAGTTGCTTTTCTTAGTAAGCTACCCCTAGTAATGTTAAATAGGACTATTGGCCAATGAGAACAAAAGATATTAGGCAGAAAATTGAAGTGTTACTATTTATTTATACAGTTCTTTCCACTCCTTCTCATTTAGGTTCATCACCTAATTTTTTATATGGTGATAATATAGTTTTGTAGACATTGGAGCTGATTGTGGAGTAATTAAGTTTTATGCTAATTTGCATTTTGTTTGCAGCACTGCAAAATACAACATAATCACATTCCTCCCACGATTTCTCTACTCTCAGTTCCGAAGAGCCGCCAATTCCTTTTTTCTCTTCATTGCTCTGCTTCAGGTAAAGTTGTGTCCTTAGTCCAAGGTCAAATGTCCCAATATTAACAAATGCCTGTGACCAGTCTTCTAAGCTTATCTGAACACAGAGAAATCCGCTGGCTTGGTTGGACAGTGCCACAAGCACTGTTAGAATTTCTCTGTGGCTTTAAGCCTTTCCATTCATTTGTAATCGGCTTATTTTTAAACGTTCTGTAAATTCAGTGTGGCAAGGACTATTTGTTGCGTGCTAAAAGCGGAATGGGACTTTTTCTTAAAATGCTAATTTGTTTTAATAGCAGTAAAACTGTTAATCCTGAACTTTAGGATTCAAGAATTACCATTTTAAATCTTGTTTCTCTTTGTAGTTGTGTTAGTTGTAATCAGAAAAAAACAAAAACAAAAAAAAAACAGTTTTATTTTATTAAAAAAAAGGACACACACTCATTGTATAAAGAAATAGAAAACACAAGAGGGCCTAAAGAAAATATTTGTAACTCATCCCACCACCAAGAGCCAACTATCTCTTAAAATCTGAGTGTATGTCCTTCTGGTCTTCTTTCCCTTCAGCATTGTGTATTAATTTAGTTTACAAAAAGGGATGATAGAGTTCATGTGTTTCCTAATCTTTTTTATCTGGATGATAACATGTTGATATTTTCCAAGAGATCATTGTGTATCTAAAATACCGCTTTTAGTGGTCATGTGGTATTTTAGCATATGGATATACTGTAATTTATTTAACCTGTCCCCCTTTGTAGGTGTTAGTCCTGCCATGCTCTTCCGTCTACTTATTACATATGAGCAAATTACCTTCCCCAGTGTTAGTCTGCCAACATAGTAAAATCAAAAAAGCGTATTTTAAGAGGTACTAAGTTGTTGTTTATCCGTGTATTATCAACCTGCTAGTTCTCACTGGATTTCTCTCTTTTTTTCCCGTTCAAATAGCAAATACCTGATGTATCACCAACAGGTCGCTATACAACACTGGTTCCTCTCTTATTTATTTTAGCTGTGGCAGCTATCAAAGAGATAATAGAAGATATTGTAAGTACTACATTTTTTCATAAATAAATGTGACTCTGTTATTTTTATATGAATATTGGTTTCATCTTTAAGTTATTTTATTCTTGGCACACACTGCTCAAAATGCCCATTCAACTTAAAAGTATATAGAATATACTCCTACCTCTGCAGTTAATTTCTATTGATTTTATAGGATTAATATTGCAAAGTGCTTGCTACAGTGTTCCCTTCTGTTTGTAGTTTATTAATGAAAGAAATTAATTTGACTATAATAATTGGCTTAGAGAGAAAAATATATTTGAACATTATTTCTAATTATACTCAGTTTTTATTTTCCTTCAATTTTTATTAATTTATTTTTGTTACACGTTTCTCCTTTTCCCCCCATAGACATCCTTCTCCCCATCCCACCTCCCCCAAGTCCCCAGCATTGTTGTCTATGTCTAGTGGTTACGCATCAGTTTTCAATTTGATCATTGTTTCAAGTTAAACAGAACCTCCAAACTATGCAAATGTAAAGAGGGTTTTTTTTGTATTTCTTATTTTTAAATTTATATACCCTAGTTTTCACCTCATTAAATACCTATGATTCCTTTTCATCTTATTTTAGTAGTTCTAAGTTTCTTTTCTTTTATCTTATTTTATTAAAAGAGAGTAACAGCAAATGTGCTATTTTTATTTTTCCGTGGTAGCAGAGAAAAGGGGAAGCCAATTTGCCTTTTATAAAATTCATTCCCCAAAATAAACTCAGGTTTTTTTCTTTTTTTTTTCTATTTTAATGGTTATTTTAACTACCTTAGTAGAGGAAGCCAGTATTTTTTTCTATGCCCTTTAAGTAATTTGCCTGTCTGAAATGACCTTCTATCAAGCCTTAGGCAAGTCAGATGGTAAGGCGAGGAAAGGCTGAAACCTTCTTAAGAAAGCTCCAATTTAAAGTTATACAAACATTAATATTATGGCCATGGGGGATCAGATTGGGTTCTCACTAAGAACACATGAGCCACAGCATAACTAAACCATCAGACAGGTCAGCAGACCGATTACACCATCAGTCTCAAAAACATCCAGTGTCTAAGAGTGCAAACAGAGGTGTGTGTGTGCGTGTGTGTAACACATCACAGTCCTCTTGGTTGATAATGACATCCTTGCTCGGGGCCACTAGCTAAAAATTGTAAGGGGTCTCTTCTCACTCCTCTGTTCCACACAGACTTACCATCTTTTAAATTATGGTTGGCTTTGGCATTCCCTAAGAATTGGTCTTTATTACAACTTTGTTTCTTTCTTTGCCTTTTGTATTCCCTCTTCTTTCTTTGTTTAACCTGGTTTCATTGAGTATCTGTTACTCACTAGGCATTGTGCTATTGTTTTTGCAATATCTTTGTTCTCATTTAATTCCTTAGGTAACTTTGAAAGTTGGATATTAACCCCATGTTAAAGGTGTAAGGAAGCTGAGGCTTGGAGCAGACATGTGTCTCGCCCAAGAAATTGACAGCATTTTTATGCCATCCAGTGCTCTGTCGCTTTATTTTTGTGGCGAGGCACTAACAATAATATTAATTAATAACAGTTTGTGAACTTCTGGGTTCCATGTACTTGCATTATGTCCTTTACATTGACTAAATCTTATAACAACCTTTTAAAGAATAAATGGTATCATCCCCATTTTACAGAGGAGGGTGAGAAGCCACAGAATAGCCAGGTAATTAGCTCAAGGTCACAACTATTTAAGCCGGGCTGTCAGAATTCAAGGCTCCAGATCCCTGCCTTGAAATCATTGCTCTAAACTGCCTCTTCTGTCTTTATCTTCTTTTTTCTCAGCAGAACTGTAAAGGCTCTAGCTATGGTTTTAGTATCCCTCTTTATGAAAATACATGGTAAATAGAATAGCATCCAAGAAGTTTGTTGTTGTTTTTAACAAAATCCTGTTAGCATGACGTAATAATTGGGTACTATTAGAATATAGCCAATTAGGCTATTTCTTTTTTTTTTTTTAATAATGGTTTTTATTGTTTTTTAGAGAGAGGACTGGAGAGGGAGAGAAAGATAGAAACATCGATTGGCTGCCTCCTGTACACCCCGCACTGGGACCGAGCCCACAGCCTGGGCATGTGCCCTGACTGGCAGTCGAACTGGTGACTTCTTGGTGCATGGGTCGATGCTCAACCAACTGAGCCACGCTGGCTGGGCTAATTAGGCAGTTTCTGAAGGATGTAATATTAATATTGTGGGGTAACAGTAGTAGTATTTGAAGTAGCTTTCTAATAAAATGTGTTAAGAAATGGACTAAAAATGGTCTATAAGAATGATTTAACAAGAAATTGATATCAAGGTATAAGGTTATGGAAAGTTTAAATATTACTGTCTAGAAAAGAAAAAATCAATAATAGTTTAGATAATTGGGCAAATTATCAGTAGTTATAATGAATACATATATTCATTCATTCATTCATTTATTCAACAGCAATAGAGGAAGCAGTACTTAGGTGACAGGTATTCATTAGGATGTATATTAGGATGTATTAAACTTTTCCTGCAGTAATAATCATGTCCCAAGTGTCAGTGGCTTAAACATGACTTTGTGTTTTGCATCTCAAACACACTGCAGGTTGTTGTGGGATGGGGAGGGCAGGATGCATCCTTTTTCAAATAGTCATGGATGCAGCTGGATCAAGGCTTTGCCTTTGTGTGGAATGTTGGTCATCAGCGGATTCGAGGAAGAGAAAGAATGGAGATCTCACTTCTTCTGTATGTTGGCCTAGAAATGGTGCACATCACATCTATTTACAGCCTAATATTAGACCTAGTGGCATGACAAAAGGGAGGTATAATCTCCATGTCCATAGAAATAGAGGACAACTGGACATTGACGAAGACCAGTAATGTTGACCATCCTTACATCAGTGAATAAAACAGAGCTTACATTCTAGTGAAACTTCCTGTATATTCTGTTAAACAGCATTTAAAAAATTTTTTAGAATAAAGCATAGTACTAATTGCCTTGAAGTGTGATACCTAAGATTTATCCACCTCAGTGCCTTTTAACTCTTGATGCTTTGGACAACTTAACATAATATGATTTCCTGTTTTTATGCATAACTAACAAATGAGATATATGCTTACTTAAAAATGCTGTCAAATTGGTGGAGAAATTCTAGTTTAATAAAAAAAAATAGTGTTTTGTGTCAAATGCCAATTCTTGTGGTAAGGGTCAAGGTTGTTTGTTAAATTAATAATATTCACCATGAAAAACATGCTTTCTTTGCTATGAACTTGTTAACTTAAACACTAATAAGCTTTATTCATTATAAAACAAATACTTATTTAAAGTCTACTAAGTTCAGAAATCAAATATTGAGCATATGCCCCTGAGTAAAAGTCACCCTGATGGGAGTTTGCAGCCCAGTGGAGGAGACAGACATTAATCAAGTAAGCATGCTAGCTATCATGAGAATTGAATGAGGCATGTGAGGTCCTTAGAACAGTGTTGAGTGTATAGTGAGTGCTGAATAAAGTTAATTGTATTGTCATCATCCAAAGGTGCTTTTACCAAAATGTAGAAAATAGATTGGAAAGAAAACAGGATTTAGGTTGACTTATTAGAAGAGTATTCTAATAGCAAGTATAAACAAAATGAAGCTCTCATAGACTAGGTGGTATGGTAGAGATGAAGAAATATGGAAAAAATGAATTCAATATATATTTAGGAGAAAAATCGATAAGACATCATCATTTGACATGCAACATACCATACTTATTTTGTTCATATTCTGTCTGTAACCACTAGCATGTAAGCTCCATGAGAGCAAGAGTTTTTGTCTCTTGTTCACTGCTGTATCATCAGCTATGGTAACAGGGCATGGCACTTATGAAGTGTTTAGTAAACATGTGTTGAATGAAGAAATGAATTGGATGGGAGTGAGCAGGAGAAGGAGGTACAAGGATGACTCTCAAGTTTGTAGTTTGTGTGGATGGGTAGTATATGGTTCATCTTCCGAGGCAAGGACCAAGTCTTGGGGATTAGAATCATAGATTATCATTTGGACATAGTTTGAAATGCCTTTGAGACGGCTACAGGGAGATGTCAAGGAGGGAGCGAGGTACGACTGTCTAGAGCTCAGATGAGAGTCTGGCTGGTATATATATTTGTGTGTTGGTTATCACTGGGTTACTGGTATGAATGAACTAGAGAGTATAGAGTGAGCAGCAAAGAGGACAAGAGAGTAAGCCTAAGGAATTCCATCACTGAATTACAAGCAAGGAGACGAAGAAGGGGCCAAGGTGCAGGTGGAACACCTGGACGATGATGCAACAAGAAATGGCCAGGATGAAAGAGTTCCCAGAACGAGCACTGGTCAGTATTGCATGTTAAGTATGCTGCAGTTTATGGATCTATTTACACAGTACAGTTTATTGGTGTACTGTCAACCAAATACTGGAAATATTAAATAATTCACTAGCTCTCGGTGGTATTAATAAATTTTGATTACAGGACAGTGGAGGTATTTGAACTCAGAGAATAACTGTATTAATTGTTCTGAACTATTACCTTGAGAAGGAATAATGGTCTCATTAGGATATAAAGATACTTTCTTTCTGTAGTCATAAGATTAGAATCTGCCTGTCTGGGTGGCTCCTTATGTATGTTCGGCACAATTGTGTCTGCCAAGCAGCCTAATTTTTTCTGTAGTGCAAAGGTTGGAGAAAGAGATGCTCCTGTGCAGGAATTCTCTGTGGATGGAAAGTAATGTTCAGGAACTCCTCAGGTGTCACTGAGATTAAATTTCCTGTGGAAGTGGAATGTCTCGTTAATTAGCTTCCATTTGTCTCCAGTCTATTACATATTAGAAGTACACATTGTTTTGGAAATATTTGCACCTGCACTGAATATCTCATTTTACCTTGAATCATTATTTTGGTCTAAAATTTATTTGGGGTTACTTTTTTTATTATTTTTTTATTTATTCATTTTTTTCTTTTATTTTTTATTATTCATTTAATTTTATTTTTGTTGCAGATGCTTCTCCTTTTTTACCCCATTGACACCCTCCTCCCCATCCCCCCCCCCCCCGCCCCGTCCCCGGCTTTGTTGTCCGTGTCCATTGGTCATGCATACATGCATATAAGTTCTGTGGTTTATCTCTTCCTTCCCCTCACCACCCCCTCTTCTGAGGGTTGTCAGTCTGTACCCTACTTCCATGTTTCTGGGTCTACCCTATTCCTCAGACTGTTATATTCATTATATTTCATATATAAGTGAGATCATGTGGTATTTGTCTTTTTCTGCTTGGCTTCTTTCACTTAGGATAATACTTTCCAGGTCCCTCCATGTCGTCTCAAAGGATAAGAGATCTTTCTTTCTTACAGCTACATAGTACTCCATTGTGTATATGTACCACTGCTTTTTTATCCATTCGTCTACTGATAGACACTTGGGCTGTTTCCAGATCTTAGCTATTGTAAATAGTGCTGCTATGAACATGGGGGTACATATATTCTTTCTGATTGGTGCTTCAGGCTTCTTAGGGTATATTCCTAGAAGTGGGATCACTGGGACAAATGGAAGTTCAGTTTTTAAATTTTTTTTTTTTTTTTTGAGGTAGCACCATATTGTTTCCATAGTGGCTGCACCAGTCTGCATTCCCACCAGCAGTGCACTAGAGTCCCCTTTTCTCCACACCTCGCCAACACTTGTTTGATGATTTGTTGATGGTGGCCATTCTGACAGGTGTGAGGTGATAGCTCATTGTTGTTTTAATTTGCATCTCTCTGATGATTAGTGATGTGGAGCATTTCTTCATATGTCTCTTGGCCATTTGTATGTCCTGTTTGGAGAGGTGTCTATTCAGCTCCTCTGCCCATTTTTTATTTTATTTTTTTATCCTCACCCGAGGACATTTTTGCATTTTTTGTTCAGACAGAGCGGGAGGGAGAGAGAGGAAGAGAGAGAGAGAGAAACATCGATGTGATGTTTCAAACCCGGGTCTCTCTGTACCGCAGGCCGACCCTCCAACCGCTGAGCCAAACCGGCCAGGGCTCCTCTGCCCATTTTTTAATTGGGTTCTTTGTCTTTCTTTTGTTGAGTTGTATGAGTACTCTATATATTTTGGAAATTAACCTCTTATCTGATGTATCATTGGCAATGATGTTCTCCCATACAGTGGGTTGCCTTTCCATTTTGATGGTTTCTTCTGCTGTGCAGAAGCTTTTGAGTTTGATGTAGTCCCATGTGTTCATTTTTTCCTTTGTTTCTGTTGTCTTAGGTGATGTATCAGTGAAAATTCTGCTCCGTGTGATGGCTGAAATTTTGTTGCCTACATTTTCTTCTAGAATTTTTATGGATTCACGGGTCACATTTAAGTCTTTTATCCATTTTGAGTTTATTCTTGTGTATGGTGTAAGTTGATGGTCTAGTTTCATTTTTTTTGCATGTAGCTGTCCCAACACCATTTATTAAAGAGGCTGTATTTACTCCACTGTATGCTCTTGCCACCTTTGTCAAATATTAATTGAGCGTATTGCCTTGGGTCCATTTCTGGGTTCTCTATTCTGTTCCACTGGTCTATATGCCTGTTCTTGTGCCAGTACCAGGCTGTTTTGGCTACAGTCGCTTTGTAGTATAACCTGATATCTGGTATTGTGATCCCACCTACTTTGTCCTTCTTTTTCAAAATTGCTGTGGCTATTCGGGGTCTTTTTTGGTTCCATATAAACTTTTGAAGTGGGGTTACTTTTAACTTTCTTCAGATCTTTATTAACAAACGAAAATGAGTAAGCATTTTAGACTTTTATCAATTATAAAATAAGCTCTACTGAAGCTACAAATGTAACAGATCTTTAAAAATTCAGTTAAGAGTAGTTGCTGGCAAATCACGGGCTTGCTTTTGGAAGCCATAACTTGCCGCTTGAAAGTGTACAGTATTACACTTTATTCGTGAGAGTTTTCTTGAGAGAGTTGTGTCCCTGCACGGGGAGTGGCGGGAGTTGTTTTCCGCAGCCTTCCACCGAGGGTTCGCGGCTCGCGTTCTGCGCAGTGCAGGGGCTGGCACTCGGCTGCCAGCGCGACACTCCCTCAGCGTCGCTGTGTCCTGGAGGAGTGCCGACCCCTAACTGCACACGTCTCTCTTGGAACGTGTCTTCATATGTGCACTGTGGTCCTAACACCCACGTTGCTTCTCCGTGGCGAGCTTAGGAACTCACTGGTCTTGCACGGGTTCCTCGTGGTCGGTGTATGTAGCTGAATCTGACCATGGTTTTGTATGGTGGAACCTCTGGGCAGAGTCGGTTACATGCACTTTGCTGCAGCGTCCAGAGGCCGATGTGCTGCGCGCGGTGCCCTAAGCTTCTACGGAAGCCTTAGAAAACCTCTAGTTTCCTCTGGTCGGTCAGGTCTGCTCTTTCCTCTGGCCTTTCGTTTCTTCTCTTACTGCTGTAAAACATTGACTCATGTAACTCTTCAAACTCACCCAACTAGACAAACTCACCTTTTACTATTTTTTCTTTTTTCAGTGCTTTTGGGAGGAAGGAGGATGGGATCATGTGATTCAGTGGCTTGAGATTTAGGGGCAGAGTAGCTCTTGGGGAGCATAAAGAGGCTTTATGCAGGTGGTAGATATATTTGTTTCTAGTCACTGGCAGATATCAGCACATCATTAAATTATAGAGGATGTATCAGCTTAGTTAGATAATGAATTTCTTAAGTTGAAAATAAATCAGTACCGTTATTAAATGGTGGTTATTATAGATAATTCCCTTGGGCATTCTTTTTTAAGAGAGTTATTTAAGCAAAAGACTAAGTCAGCCTTTCAGCTCAAACTCTTCTAGGACATTAAAATGTTAATCTTACCTACGTGTAATGTCTGCTCTTCTGAGGACCACACTCCCGGGAAAGGACGACCAGGACGACCGCAGAAGATGCTGTGGATTGCTCTCCCTCTTAGTCCCGAACACCCTCAGACTTCCCATCCCCCCAGGGCATTCTTTGAGCATTGACATGGGTGTGAAAATAAGTTAAAGAAATCTCTTTTGTTATAGGTGCTCTTTTGTGTTATTCATCTCATTTACAGTTTTTGTTTTTGCTTTTAAACTTTAGAAGCGACATAAAGCTGATAATGCCGTGAACAAGAAACAGACACAAGGTAGGACTTTTACCGTTTATTTCTTGTATCTCAAATACACTCATACTAATAGAAATAACCACTTCAGTTAAATGTAACTCAATTGAAAATACTATTTATCTCTCAAGTTTTTATTCCAGGGTAGATTCTTGCTTAGTAGCATTTATTAGCATGACACCTAAATTCGCATTAATGTGATTTACTGTGGTCATATACTTCTGAAAAGTAACATTTTTAATATATTTAAGTACCTCATAGCAATGTACTCTGAAGAACTGCCCATAAAATCTGCAGTGGTTTTGACAGTATTAAATGCTGCAAAATGTCATTATTTTGTTTGTGATCTATAGATACCACTCCAGAAAAGATTTATAGAAAATAATCAGATGTGATATTGCTTGGGGAAGAGGCATGTTGGGAGCACTTAGATTATGCTGTACGTGCGGTGATAGATGCTGCAGAAATAAATAAAGTTATTAAAACCAGGCCAGCTTCTGGGAAGTGCGTGGCGTTTTGACATGGCTCTTTTGTTGTGTGGTCTCACTTTGATGCAGCCCAAAACAAAAGGAGCGTCAACACCAGCAAATAGACCATTATGCTCTCAGAATTTTAAGAACTACCCAGGAACATGCAAAACAGACATCGAGTTCCATCCCTGGGTTTGCCCCATCTGAGAGTGTTGTTTCTCTCTCTCTGAAATGCCCTGATGTGTTGAGGACCAGGCATGTCTGCCAAAATTAGCTGGTGATTAAAAACAGTGTTTTTATACTGCTGTGATTTTCATGGGACCCTGTCAAAATGCCCTGCTTCTCTTACCTCGTTCCACCAAAGGGATCATCTGATTTTTTTATTCATTTGAGGAAGCCACAGTTATTAAAGTGTCATCTAGTAAGTTAACAAAATATTTACATTATATTATAACCTATGGGACATATGAGAAATATAAGATGGGAACTATGTAAAAGCACAGAGTAAAAGATGATTTTGTGTGGAAAACGAAGGACTTGGATTACATGATCTCGGTGTCTGTCTAGATTTTGGTGGCAAATGATGCTCCTATGTCAAATGCTACGTAATTGAAGAAGGAGGGGAAATTGTTGAGGTAACTTGAGCTACATCTTGAATTTTGGGGACACATCATTGAGCAGAGGCACGTGGGGAAGTGTTGCCTGTGGACTGAGTGAGAGTGGAGGAGAGGTTATCCTGAAGAGAGATGCAGAAGGCTGTTGAATTGCTTTGTTGAACCACCATTATCAGAGTATCAGATGAAGAAGGAGATGCATATCATGCAGCTAACACATGATGGAAGAGGTAGGCCAGGGTCAGATGTTATAGGGCTTTGGATGCCAAGCCAAGGGATTCCAAATTTTTTCATGTATACTGACGAGCTGTTGACAGTTTGCAGCCAAAAATAGACAGGATGAACATGCAGATTAGATACGGGGAGCAGAACAGATTGGAGTAGGAGGCTATCAGAAGTCTGGGAACAAAGTTACTCCAGGAAGGTGGGGAGGGAAAGGCACAGGAATTGAAAGGGAAAAACTCAGATGTTTCAGGGACTGCATTTTTGTCAATATAAAGTTTTTGCATTCAGTAACTGCTTTTCAGCCAATAACACGTAATTATTTTTTCAGTATGTAATGGATCTTGCAGCAGAGAGCTCTGATCCTCAGGGATGGGCCGTTATTTATTTCCAAGCCTTGGCCCAAGAAGTCATTGTACAGTTAAAGAGTAGCTCTCTCCCTGGCCAGTTTGGCTCAGCGGTTGAGCGTCGGCCTGCGGACCAGAGAGTCCCAGGTTTGGTTCCTGCTAGGGGGCACGTACAACCAAAAAAAAAAAAAATGAGTAACTGTCACAGGTATGATTATTTTAGGCACCACACCTTGAACTAATATGATCTGTGATTTTCTGGGTAGTTACCTACTTCCAAAAATAACTCCCTTTTGTCTATTATTCATAGAAAATATTCTTTCAAGGTTATCATTTTTGGTTCATCACTTCACCCTGGATTAATACAATTAGCTCTGTAGCTAAAAGTGAGCCCTGGCTGGGTGGCTCAGTCAGTTGGAGCATTGTCTCATACGCCAGAAAAAAAAGTGGGTTGCCAGTTAAATCCCTGGTTGGGGCATGTATGGGAGGCAACTGGTGGATGGTTCTCTCTCTCTCTCTCTCTCTCTCTCTCTCTCTCTCTCTCTCTCCTCTCTCCCTCTCTCTCCTCTCCCTCTCTCTCCTCTCCCTCTCTCCTCTCCCTCTCTCCTCTCCCTCTCTCCTGTCTCTCTCCTCTCTCTCTCCCTCCTCTCTCTCCCTCCTCTCTCTCTCTTTCCTCTCTCTCTTTCCTCTCCTCTCTCTCTCTCTCCTCTCTCTCCCTCCTCTCTCTCCCTCCTCTCTCTCCCTCCTCTCTCTCCCTCCTCTCTCTCTCTCCTCTCTCTCTCTCCTCTCTCTCTCCTCTCTCTCTCTCTCCTCTCTCTCTCCTTCTCTCTTTCCTCTCTCCTCTCTCCCCCTCTCCCCCTCTTTTCCTCCTCCTTCCCACTTTCCTTCCCTCTATCTCTAAAATCAATAATAGAAAAAAAACAACACACATATTCTCAGGTAAGGATTAAAAAAAGAATAGGCAAGTGAGAGGGAAGGCTTCTAAAATAGATATGTATAAAGTTCATGTCAAAAATAAAATATTGGGGCTTAACAGCTATTAAAACCATTTTAGCAGAATACTTGGTAATCCCATATGTAAGAAACTGTGGCTTTCAGTTTGGTCGTTGAAACTGGCTTCTCAGAGATCGTCCCCTTTTTTTCCTACTTTGTCTAGTTCGAGTGTCGATCATCTTTCAGATTTTGCAGTTGATAAAAGATAACAGAAATGTTTGTGAAGGATACTGTTTGCCATCACATAACTCACATTGTTTAATATGAAAGCCATCTGTTGTCATTAAACCAGAGTGAAATTGGATTTGCTTTGCCGAATTGAGGCAGGAGTGGGAAGTGAATATTTTTGACAGATAATTAATTCTTGATAAATATTAAACTTAAGTATTAAACTTAAAATTTCAATTTCTAAATGTTTACCAAGACCAGGTAATGTGTCAAAGGACACCTTTCCCTCAGATTCAAAGAGTAACCCTTCTATATTCTTGGAGAAATGAATATTTTCTCTCCTTATTTTGCATTGAGGCACTAGAGTGACTTTTTTCTGTCATTCACTAACAACTTCAGAAATAAAAATTCATAATTTCATGTCCAACATTTGTAATCATGTAACTATAGACTGGTACCTGTCTGATGCCTCATTTCCACCAATTAATGCACTCCGTCAGGGATCATATTTTCTACCCAACTCAGGACTTTGTAAACTTTACGTTTTAGCGTATTATCAGCGCTTTTGAAAACAAGCCATTTCTTCTCCTGGAGATATATATAAGTTGGTTAGGTAGATGGTTCAATGAACTGGCAAATTCAAAATGTTATGTTGTTCTCTGAGGACATAGCTGTTGAGAGAGGGCAGAGAAAACTGATGCTCAGAATTCCAGGGAGTATGAGTGAGTCTTCATGAGCTACGGGGGCCACTCCTCCCAGGGAGCCGTGACCAGCTGTCCTTGCTCCTTTCGTCGTGTGCTGGTGTCGGTGGCAGCGGAGCAGAGGGCGGGCCTGCCTCGGACTGGTCTCCGGGTCCCCACGGCCCTGGTCCAGGGCTGCCCGAGCAGGCAGTATATGTGTGCATGGCAAACGAACCGGTGAGTGAGCCACGCTCCCCACAGGTGCTTGAGTACAGATAACGAAGGAAGAAACCAGACATGAAAGGAATCTTGAAAATCCATTATGTGGGGTGTGAGCAAGAAGAAAAGCAGTGTTTTCATAACACTGAGTCCCAGACTGCTTCTCAAGCACTGATGAAACACTAGTGTGGCAGGAGATGTAGCCACCTCCGTACCGTCTCTGTGGAAGTGATTACGCGCCGTACCGTGTCCACTTACCAGCTCCGTTATCCGGAGCCCAGAGCACTGCCACATTCAGAATGCCCGGGCTTCCTCGCATCTAAACCTACCTTCGTTTTCTCCGACTCTTCGCTTACTATTCGGAGTGCCAGTATTTGACGTACCACCCTCCCCAGTCACTCGTTGTTTGCCCCAAACTAGTTGTTCTGCCCGATTTCATTCTGCAGGCATATGTAAGTTATAAATTTATAATGATTAGTGTAATATGTACATTGAAGTCAGTCCCCATATAGGTTGATTGTGGTTGAGCTGGTTCTCTTTTTAAATTGTAAAAATGTGCCCTGGCCGGTTTGGCTCAGCTGTTAGAGCATCGCCCGAGGACTGGAGGGTCCCAGGTGGTCCCCTCTAAGGGCATGTACCTCGGTTGGTTTGTCCCCAGCCCTGGGGCTGTGTGGGCGGCAACCAGCCAACGTGTCTCTCTCACATCGATGTTTCTCTCTCTCTCTTCTTCCCTCTCTTCCTCCTGTTCTATCTGAAGATAAATGCAAAAAATGCCCTCGGGTGAGGATAAAAAAAAAATTGTAAAAATGTGCTTCTGTTTTTTATGAAATGCTACTCTGGCTAGTATGCCAGTATTTCAAGGGAAATGAGAGTTTCACATACAGTCACAGTATGGGGCCTGGGAAAGGATGGGGTTCACGTACAGGCAAAAGAAAGCTATTTGGGAGAATTAAAAATGCCCCCTAATGCAATAGATTTGCTTCTGTGCAATCCCGGGTTTGGGTGTACTCCCGGAAGGACGCTGTGTACCTAGTGCAGGTGAGAATGTGGCAGAGCCCCGGCCGTGCGTCCGACGGCCCTCCGACCACCTGGTCTGGTGCTGCGGTTGAACCAGGCCACCCTTCCTGCAATTAGAGTGTGTAGCACCATCTTTCCTTGCTGTCGTTTGACAGTTGGCCTTACACTAAGAATAAGGCTTTATTTAATGAAGCAACTTTTCTGTTTTAATTTAATTGAGGAAAAGACATCATGAAATTCTTTTCCGCTAGGCACATAGCTAAAAATAATGGGTCTCATTCCCACCTCTTTCCA